AAAAACCTTTAAAAAAAAAAAAAAAATGCCTGCAACTGTACAGAGTAGTTTCTGACTCAATATCTGCCCTACACCTTTCAAGCCGGAACAGCGCAGTGTGATGGCTGCCACGGCCCCAGTTCCCATCAGCTCCTTCTGGGTCAGAGCGAGCTTGCCCTGCGCAGATTCGTTTTCATTAAAAAGTTCATGTCCCTCCTCCAAAAAAAAGACCTCTTTTAAAATATAATGCTGTCTGCGATAGGATAATATCTATGCGCCAACAAGGAAGACCTGTTAATACCACTATTATTCAAATTTTCCCACCAATCACTAAAGCCAGTAGTGATGAAATGGAAGAATTCTACCAATTTCTTCAGGCTGAAATTTACAAAATATGCAATCAAGATGTATTAATAATAACTGTCTCTGGTAGCGTAGTGGTTACGGATTGGGCTGTGAACCGCAAGGTTAGCAGTTCAAAACTACCAGCTGCTCCGCGGGAGAAAGATGAGGCTTTCTGCTCCCGTAAAGATTTACAGCCTCGGAAACCCTATTCAGGGTCGCTATGGGTCGGAACTGACTCGACGGCACACAACAACAACAACAACAACAACATTGGAATGCAAAAATTGGAAACAGGATGGATCCATAGTTAGAAAATATGGTGATAGAAACAATGGGAAAGATTACATGATAAAAGTTTTGCAAGACCAATGACCTCTTCATTACAAACGTCATTTTAAAACGACAGAAAAGATGAGTATGCACACAGACCACACCAGATGGAATACACAGAAACCAAACTGACTACATCTGTGGGAAGAGATGGTGGAAAAGCTGAGTATCATCAGCCAAAACAAGCCTGGGGCCAATTGTGTGAAAGACCATTGAATACTCATATGCAAGTTCAGGCTGAAGCTGAAGAAAATTAAAACAAGTCCACAAGAGCCAAAATAGGACCTTGAACATACCACACCTGAATTTAGAGATCAGCTCAAGAACAGATGTGATGCATTAGACACTAATGACCAAAGATCCAAAGCGCTGTGGGATGACATCAAGAATACCACACAGGAAGAAAGCAAAGGGTCATTAAGAAGACAAGAAAAAAGGAAGAGACCAAAATGGATGTCCAAAGACACTCTCAAACTTGCTCTCCAGCACAGAGATGCCAAAGCAAATGGAAGAAATGAAGAAATAAAAGAGTTGAACAACAAAAAAAGAGTTGAACAGAAAATGTCAAAGGGCAACTTGAGAAGACAAAGTCAAACATTATAAGGAAATGTGTAAAGACCTGGAGTTAGAAAACCAAAAGTGATGGACATTTCTCAAACTGAAAGAACTGAGGAAAAATTTCAAGCCTCCACTTGCAACTCTGAAGGATTCTATGGGGAAAATACTGAATGATACAGAAAGTATCAAACAAATACTGAAGGAACACACATAGTCACTGTCCCAAAAAGAACTGGTCAATCTTAAACCATTCAAGAGCCAAGGATACTGAAGGAAGAGGTCTAAGGTACACTGAAGGCATTGGCAAAGAACAAAGCTCTGAGAATTGATGGAATATAAATTTAAATCTTTCAACAAACTGGAGCAGCACTGGAGGCACTCACTCATCTGTGCCAAGAAATTTGGAAAACACCTAGCTACCTGGCCAACTGATAGGAAGAGATTCATATCTGTGCCCATTCCAAAGACAAGTGACCCAACAGAATGAGGAAATTGTTGGACAAGACCTTTAATATCACAGGCAAGTAAATTTTTACTAAAGATAATTCAAAAACAGCTTCAACAATGCATTGACAGGGAACTGCCAGATTCAAGCCAGTTTCAGACAAGGATGTGGACAAGGGATGTCACTGATGATGTCAGGTGGATATTGGCTGAAAGCACAAAGTGCCAGAAAGATGTTTACCTGTGCTTTAATGACTACACAGAGGCTTTTGACTATGTGGATCATGACAAACTATGGACAACACTGTGGAGAATGGGTATTCTGGAACATTAATTGTGCTCATGAGGAATCTGTTGTCCATAGCTTGTCATGATCCACACATTATATAGATTATATGAAGAAGAACGCAGCATCAAGATTGGAAAAACACTCATTAATGACCTGAGAGATGCAGATGATACAACCTTGCTTGCTAAAAGCAAAGATGACTTTTACACTTACCAATGAAGATCAAAGACAATAGCATTAGGTATGGGTTGCATTTCAACATAAAGAAAACAAAAATTCTTACCACTGGACCAATTAAATGACATCAAGATAAACTTCATTTTGCTCAGATCAACCATCAATACACATGGAAGCAGCAAATCTTCTGCACAAAACCCCTTCAAAATGTTCAAAAGCAAAGGCGTCAGTTTGAGGACCACGGTGTCCCTGACCCAAGCCATGGTATTTTCAATAACCTCATATGCATGTGAAAGTTGGAAAATGAATGAAGAAGACCACAGAAGAATTAATGCATTTGTTGTTGGTGTTGGAGGAGAATAGTAAAAGTACCATGAACCACCAAAAGAAAAACACACAAATCTTTGTTGGAAGAAATACAGCCAAAATGCTCCTTAGAAGCCAGGATGGCCAGACTTAGCTTCTCATACTTTGAACATATTATCAGGAGGGACCAGTCCCTTGAGAAGGACATCATGCTTGGTAATGTGGAGGGTCAGTGAAAAATACGAAGACCCCCAACGAAATAGATTGGCACAGTGGTGAATAGCAATGGGGTCAAACAATTGTGAGGGAACGCAAAATCAGGCAGTGTTTTGTTCTATGAGTTGGCATTTGAGTACTATGTAGCCATATGATTAGAGCCCTAGTAGCACAGTGGTAAACCACTCGTCTGCTTTACACACAGTCTCTGGATGATGCAAAAAGTTAATGTACTGAACTGCCAACCAAAAGTTTAAAGATTTGAGTCCACCCAGAACAAGCATCTCTGAAGAAAGTCCAGGTGATCTACTTTCAAAAAAGTAGGTTGAAAACTCTATGGAGCACAGTTTGCCTCTGGCACCCATAAGGTTATCATGAGTCAGGCTGACTCAATGGCAGCTGGTTACAATTTACCCAATGACTACTTGTTGTTGATAAGTGTCATCAAATAGGTTCCGACTCATAGTGATCCTATATAGGAGTGGCTGGTGAGCTTGAACCACTGACCTAGCAGTTCAAACCAACTTTGCGGTCCAGAGCATCGACTTACAGCACCACACCAGGACTACTTAGGGATTATTAAATTCAAACCCATATCTAAACTATCCAAATGTTTAGGGGGCTGGAAACCCTGCAGGACTCTTCTCATTTCTTACTTGAGTAAGTGCTGTTCTTGAACTTTTTCTGATACTGTTCTCTGAGAAGCAATTGTTCCTGGAAGGGCCATTCCAACTGTAACTTCTTCTCCACCTCAGAGGGGATAGGTCCAGATTTACAAATATCTGCAAATGGGAAAAATAATTTAGATAATCTGTTTTCATAGCGATAAGGATGAAATCACATACATATACTTACTTAACTGTTTTTGTGACTAAAGCAGGATAATTCGGTTTCTAAATATAAGATATAAGACAAAGATATACAGTTGTTGTTGTTGTTAGGTGCAATCGAGTCGGTACAGATCCATACTGACCTTATGCACAGCAGAACGAAACACTGCCCAAACCTGGGCCACCTCACTACTGTTGTCACACTTATGTCCATCGATGCTGCCACTTTGCCAATCCATCTCATTGGGGGTCTTCCTCTTTTTCTCTGACCATCCACCTTTCCAAACATGATGTCCTTCTCCAGCGACTAGTCCCTCAGGACAATATGTCCAAAGTATGAGAAACGATTTTGGACATGTTGGCCTCTAAGGAGCACTCTGGCTGCACTTCTCCCAAAATGGATCTATTGGTTCTTTTGGCAGCCAATGGCACTTTCAATATTCTCCTCCAACACCATAATCAAAAAACATCAATTTTTCTATGGTCTTCCTTATTCACTGTCCAGTTTTCACATGCATATGAGGTTATTGAAAACACCATGGCTTGGATCAAGTGCACCTTAGTCCTCAAGCTGACATCTTTGTTCTTCAACACTTTAAAAAGGCCTTGTGCAGCAGATTTGCCTAATGCAATATGTTGTTTGATCTCTTGACTGCTACTTCCATGAGTGTTGATAATTGATCCAGGAAGAATGAGGTCATTGACAACTTCAATCTTTTCTACCATGATAAGAATGTTGTTTATTGGTCCAGTGGTGAGGATTTTTGTTTTCTTTACATTGAGATGTAATCCATACCAAACACTGTGCTCTTTGATCTTCATCAGTAAATGTTTTAAGTCTTCTTCAATTTCAGTAAGCAAGGTTGTATTACCTGCATATCGCAGGTTGTTAATGAGTCTTCCTCCAATCCTGATGCTACAGTTTCCTTCATAAAACCCAGTTTCTCAGATTATTTGCTCAGCATACAGGTTGAATAAGTATAGTGAAAGAATACAACTGTGTCGCACACCTTTATTAATTTTAAACCATTCAGTTTTCCCATGTACTGTTCAAACAACTGCTTCTTTGTCCAGGTACAGATTCCTCATGAGCACAATTAATTGTTCTGGAATACTCATACTTTGCAATGTTGTACATAGTTTGTCTTGATCCACACAATCAAAAGCCTTTGTGTAGTCAATAAAGCACAGGTAAACATCTTTCTAATATTCTCTGCTTTCAGCCAAGATCCATCGGACATCAGCAATGATATCCCTCGTTCCACGGCCTCTTCTGAATCCGGCTTGAACCTCTGGAAGTTCTCT